CATATGGCTTTATCTAATCAAGTAATTGAATAGTCCTGGGGTAAACCAACAGACACCCCCCCCCTGCCCACACACACACACCATCCGACAGGAAGGCATCAGAATGGCTCTACTCTACAACACAATACAGAGGTGAGGGGTAACGACTGCATCATCAACACTCTAATCAGGGTGGATAGGTCCCTCATGATCAACCCCCTACACTCCTACACAGACCACGGGGGATCTGTCCTATAAGTGTTATCTTTGGAAAACTTTAACGTTTCAAGAACATTTTTGGTGAAATCAATTTTTTACCATGCAAATATTGAAAAGTACTATTGACTTCTTATAGGTCTGCCTATAGTCCAAACTACATTTCAGTATATTGCATTTTGATTTGCATTAGATATGAATGCTTCAGTCAATGCATGCATTCATGACAGTCCAAAGCTATTGCATTTATCAGGAGTTGACTATAGATTAGCTTCAAGCTAAAAGCTGGTTTACCATATCTGTTGTTCATTACCCCCAAATCATTTCTGATTAAAGAAATACAACTATTGCCATGTTAACTTGTGATTGGAAATGCATTTCTTTAAATGCAAACACACAGAATTTCAGACTATTAACATGCTAATAGGAACATTCACATAACAGGGCTATACTGTAGCTGAACAATGGACTAAAACAGCACTTTAGAGCACACTGAATAAAGACTGGAGGCGTAAAGATGGAGAAAAAACACTACATGGAAATACACTGAGTGTACAAAACATTAGGAACACCGTCCTAATATTGACTTGCACCCCCTTTTGCCCTCAGAACAGCCCCAATTCTTTACAAGGTGTTGAAAGCGTTCCACAGGGATACTGGCTCATGTTGACTCCAATGTTTCCCACAGTTGTGTCAACTGGCTGGATGTCGTTTGGGTGGTGAACCATTCTTGATACACAAGGGAAACTGTTGAATGTGGAAAAACCCAGTACTGTTGAAGTTCTTGAAACATTCAAACCGGTGCGCCTGGCACATACTACCACACCCCGTTTAAATGCACTTTCATATTTTGTCTTGTCAATTCACCCGCTGAATGGCAGACATACACAATGCATTTCTCAAATGTCTCAAGGCTTAAAAATCCTTCTTTAACCTGACTCCTCCCCTTCATCTAAATAATAATAAATAATATGCCATTTAGCAGACGCTTTTATCCAAAGCGACTTACAGTCATGCGTGCATACATATTTTTTGTGTATGGGTGGTCGCGGGGATCAAACCCACTACCTTGGCGTTACAAGTGCCATGCTCTACCAGCTGAGCTACAGAGGACCTACACTGATTGAAGTGGATTTAACAGGTGACATCAATAAGGGATCATAGCTTTCACCTGGATTCACCTGGTCAGTCTATGTCATGGAAAGAGCAGGTGTTCCTAATGAGTGGACATTTGAATTGAAAACCCTGATCCTGTTGTGCCCTCTCTAAGAACCCAATGTATGTACCCTATTTGACTTATTTATGGAAAGTAACAAGTTCATCTTATTCTGTTGTGCATCTGTATGCCTCTCTAGATTCTAAATGGAAAAGGAACTCCAGCACACCGTTGAGATTGATGCTCCATCATGGCGAAGGTTGAATCAAGGCTGATCATGGTCGATTGTGAGACCGGAACGTTAGTAATAAGATCCAATCCGTGCAGCATCACGATCACTGTCTGCTGGAGTTTCTTTTCAATTTAGTACACAATTTTTCTCCATACATCTGAACCTTTTCAACATAATGGTGCCCACTACAATAAGTCAGGCATCCACTGTAACAAGGATGCCTGACCGTGGATGTTCATAATGATTGGTCATGTATCTCTTCTCTTCTAATTTAGTGTTTTAGTGTCTTATACAGGGATAAGGCACATCAGGAGGAGCTCTCTCTCTTTCCTCTCTATCCCTCTGTTTCTCCTTTGTTCCCTATCTACACTGAACAAAAATATAAACGCAACATGTAAAGTGTTGGTCCCATGTTTCATGAGCTGAAATAAAAAAATCCCAGAAATGTTTCATACACACAAAAAGCTTATTTCTCTCAAATGATGAGTATTTATGTCTGTAATAAAGGCCATTTGTGGGGAAAAACAAATTCTGATTGGCTGGGCCTGGCTGCCAAGTGGGTGGGCCTATGCACACCCAGGCCCACCCATGGCTGCACCCCTGCTAAGTCATGTAAAATCCATAGATTAGGGCCTAATTTATTTATTTCAATTGACTGATTTCCTTATATGAACTGTAACTCAGTAGAATCGTTGAAATTGTTGCATGTTGTGTTTATATTTTTGTTCAGTATATGTTCTCGTCAAAGTGAGTGTCCTAAAGTACTAAAGGAAACAGTCCTAAAGGATAAAGTCCTAAAGGATACAGTCCTAAAGGATAAAGTCCTAAAGGATACAGTCCTAAAGGATACAGTCCTAAAGGATAAAGTCCTAAAGGATAAAGTCCTAAAGGATACAGTCCTAAAGGATACAGTCCTAAAGGATACAGTCCTAAAGGATAAAGTCCTAAAGGATACAGTCCTTAAGGATAAAGTCCTAAAGGATACAGTCCTAAAGGATAAAGTCCTAAAGGATAAAGTCCTAAAGGATACAGTCCTAAAGGATAAAGTCCTAAAGGATACAGTCCTAAATGATACAGTCCTAAAGAATACAGTCCTAAAGGATAAAGTCCTAAAGGATACAGTCCTAAAGGATAAAGTCCTAAAGGATAAAGTCCTAAAGGATACAGTCCTAAAGGATAAAGTCCTAAAGGATACAGTCCTAAATGATACAGTCCTAAAGGATACAGTCCTAAAGGATACAGTCCTAACGGATACAGTCCTAAAAGCAAGACAGTAGAAAGCAAAACCCCTCCCCCACCACCACATAGGCTACATGCACACAAACACACACACACTGTAGTCCTACAAAGCACCCAAACGGCTCCACCTGAAAAGCAAGCAACAAAAAGTGGCCTAAAGTGGACTTGATTGATGCAAAAGTGCAGCTTCTGTGTGGCACACTTTGGATTATAGTACTTTCACATATGTCTCTACTATGGTTGTGTTTGAATGGTGTATAGTACTACTACTTTCTTGTATGTCTAAGCTATTTGCTTTTTTGTTTTTACAGCGGCCTTGACCCCCAGTCTGCACGGCGTCGACGTGAACGAGCGCTCTAACGACGTGTGAACCTTCAGGCATGCCGTTGCGGTGACATTCCTGGGTTCCAGAACAACGGCGTCTATAGACAGGTGTACACCCCTCACCCCTTCACCCGGCGCAAGATGGCAAATGCAATTTGGCCCCCCTTTCACTATGCTAAACAGGGCCACTTAGAACCGTTACATTCCTGCCTAATGTACATGGCGACTGGCACCTCAATACCTCCAGTTATCTGGTTCTAGCCGGCCTAGGTGGCTGTGGATGTCTAACCTACTAACCAACAAGACCTAAGCTACATTGAATTACAGGCCTCATTCTATTTCTATGTTTAACTGTTGCCTCGAACAGTTTTTGTTTTACAAAGTTCAACTTACTTAGGCTACACCCTGACACAAACCAATGAAATATATGGTACACAGAAGTGTCAAACAGTGTCTCTGTGTGTAACCTAACATGTCTTCTGGGGGTTGACCCGGGTCGGTGAATTTCATGGCACCTTGGGCACTTTAGCGAGGTTTTACGGCGTCATATTGTTCCTGTCGGCTCGGTTAATTTTCCTCCCGGTCCCACTGCGAACACATGCGGGAGAACAGCGCCTCTTTTCATGCAAGTCGGGTGGTTTCCCGCAGAGCTCCTGCAGTGGAGAGCATGAATGAAGAGCAGGCTTCTTTGTGTGGAAAGAGGCTAACCGTGCGCTTGTCTGCAGCGCGTTAATACAAATGTATCCTTGCCAGTGTGTGCGTAAATGCTGCCATTGTACGTGGATAATGCAGGAAGGTTGGAGTCCCTTTTTAGCCAAAGCACAGTTGACATGGCATATGCTATAACACACAGCTCCATACCCCCTTAATGGCTCCATAAAAACACGACATAAAAAGTTGGCCTTCATCTGAATTTATTGTTGAACTAATAGTTCATGATAAGGTGTTCAGTGACATACATTATAGTTTCAGTGGCCCTGTTGCTTTGTTCCGATAGAGGACGCTCCAGCTTCAGTTAGCAACAACTATCTGAGGAACAGCGTTTATTCTAGGCCTATTTCCATTAGGCAGGCTACATGGAATGTCACCTGAGAGCGTTCAACAAACTCTTGTGGGTTTATAAACGGTGTTTTGAAGATAACATTCTGATTAAATTAGGTCTGTCTAATTTGGAGGGTGATTAGCATTTTTTTTAAAGGGGGAAAAAGGAAAGAAATAGGAAATAGTGCATGCATTCTATAATACTAATTTAAATGCAATTTATCCTAAATATTTTTTTCGTTCGTTGTAGCCAGCCTAATTAGTCATCATCAGTAGCCTTGCGCACCAGTGCAGACAGGTGACAAGGTGACATTTAAGTATTTGCATAATCTTCTTTGGAATGCGCTTCGTCTGCAATCAATTAGCAATTTTGGATTGCAATGTGAATAGATTCTGGTCTGCAAGCCAAGTGCGTCCATCATCGATCGGGCACCTGCGGTCAGCAAGGATCCTAGTGGCGCGTATTTTTGGGCGGGTGTGTCTTGAGGCGGGGATATCCTTGCCCATCCCCTCTCTCCCCTCAGCTGCTATATCAGGGGACAGACTCCCTGCTCCAACTTATCTTTTATCTGGTGGTCGATTGAATGATCCTTTCATCAACAGTCTGCGCCTCTTTGGAAACAAGAAAGTATCTTTGGACTTTTGGAGTGGACAGCTTCTGTGTGCTGCATTGAGTGGTGCATAGTGAAGTGTCTTGTAACGCTGTGATTCAATTCCTTCCCTGAGAGGTTTGGGAGACGGGCACCACCCTGCAAGGAAGGAGCACAAGTCATTCTTCATCTGCAAAAACAGAAATATTCCAGGTGTGCCAAGATGCCTCGGTCATTCCTTGTCAAGAAGTATTTCACCAACAAGAGGCCAAATTACAGCGAGTTGGAAAGCCAGAATGGTAAATTGTTTAAATCCAAACATCTAATTCTGCACAAAGTTGTGAGATATGTATGTTAAAATTACTATGAGATCACATGTTTATTTTAATCGAGGTTAGCCTAGATTATAAGAGGTAGGCACTGCATCTCAGTGTTTGAGGCGTCACTACAGACCCCCTGGTTCGATTCCAGGCTGTATCACAACCCGCCGTCATTGGGAGTCCCATAGGGCGTCGCACAATTGGCCCAGCGTCGTCCGGTGTAGGCCGTCATTGTAAATAAGAATTTGTTCTTAACTGACTTGCCTAGTTAAATAACGGTTAAAGAGGAAGTGCATCTCATAACGGTTCAATGTCATGAATGCACCTTGGTGAGCGCTCAACTAAAATATACCGTTTTCCGATATGAACACGTTAAACAGTCGGGATCACGTCCCCTGCAGTGTTTTGGCGACCGGGTGTCAATAAACTGCGTAAATAGCGCTGCTGCAATCTGGACTAAGGAGTAGAGATAACAATAGTAAATGTAAATCCGGGACACTCCAAATAGTATGTAACGTGGATGTCATCATCCATTTCGTATGTATGTTACGAATTGTGTATGATATGTTATGAATTCCAATTTGGTGTCGCCAACGTGGTGGTTAACATTAGCTAGAGTTAATGTAAGGTTAAAGGGTTAGGGGAAAGGTTAGCTAACATGCTAATTAGTTGCAAAGTACTATGTAGTTGCATCCACCCCGACCAACCACCCTACTTTCGTTTTTGCCTTAAGTAACCTTCTGTCTTATGTAACTATACCAAACGTAACATATTATACTTATTTGAGTTTCCCGGATTTCCATTTACTACGTTACGTCTGGTCTATGAGAAGAGGCTGGCTTAATAGGACTATATGGTGAGGAACCAGATAGGCAGACAGACAGACAATAATGGCTAGTGTGTGAATAAGGTTGTGTCAACCTTGGCACCTAGTGTGTAACAAGGTACACAATACCCTAAACAGAAAAGGGTTCACATATTATATTGGTGCATTTAAGTGTGTGTGTGAGGAGTTGGGCCCCATCTCTTTGCGGCAAGTGCCCATGGTGAATTCGGAAGTGAATGGAGTCATGTAGCTGGGTCAGGGCTGCAGTGAACACTGAGTTTTACTGTAACAAGACACTGATAATTAGATTTAACTGTAGGCTGACTCTCTATCTCACTCCCTCCATCTCTCTCTAAAGTACTTGCATTTCTAACATATCCCCCCTCTCCCTCTCAGCAGTCATCCCAGAGTGCTATCCTCTTGCTGAGCTCCCGATGAGGGACAACAGCTCCGTCCTGACCTACTACCCCACCGCCCTGGTCTTCAACATGGATGCCCTCCCAGCACCTCTCTCCCCTGTGTCCCCCGTCTCCCCTACCCGGCCCTCCCTCACGGGTCCCCTGGACCTCAGCAGCTCCCCCTCCAGCAGCAGTGGGGAGGATGAGGAGGAGGGAGGGCGCACATCAGACCCCCCCAGCCCTGTACCCCCCCACCACGTCTACCACTGCCTCCACTGCAGTAAGACCTACAGCAGCCCCTCAGCCCTCTCCAGGCACCAGCTCACCCACTGCCCCGGGGGCAGCGAGATCAGCTCCATACCCAGCCAGGCCTTGCCTCGCCCAGCCTTCCACTGCAAAAACTGCCCTAAGGAGTACACCAGCCTGGGGGCTCTGAAGATGCACATCCGCTCACACACCCTGCCCTGCGTCTGCACCACCTGTGGAAAGGCCTTCTCCAGACCCTGGCTGCTCAGAGGACACATACGCACACACACTGGTGAGTCTTACACTCTATATTCTTATGGCACTGGGATTGTTATAGTGGTCTTATTACACCTTTGGATAGTTGTAAAATGGTAATGACATAGTAATAACCCTTATTTAATTCACTATTATAATTGTTATTATTGTTTCACTCACTTCTCTTGGACCTGCACTGTTGGAGCTTAAGAATTTCACTGTACCCTGCAATTACATCTGTGACCCTGTGCATGTGACTAATAAACAGATTTTTCTGTGGGGGCCTGCTAGGTTGACATTTCCAGTTCAAACTGGTTGAAGCTTAGGGATTGGCCAGGCATTGATATTCATTAATGTTATTGCTCCCTGTGACACTATCTTATCTCTGTGTTTATGCGAGGGGAAAAAGTCAATCAAAGGACTGAGTCAGCAAAGGGGATTGCACATTGTTGATGTTTCGGTTACACAATCTTTATCAAGACAAGTCTCCTAACATCTGTCTCTTTCCCTTTCAGGTGAGCGCCCGTTCTCCTGCCAACACTGTAACCGTGCATTTGCAGACCGCTCCAACCTGCGTGCCCACATGCAGACCCACTCTGAGGTGAAAAAGTACCAGTGTGGTTCCTGCTCTCGCACCTTCAGCCGCATGTCCCTGCTACACAAACACACTGCCTCCGGCTGCTGCCCTGCCTCCTAGACACACACTGACCCAGTGGCTCAGCGGCTTAGAACATTTGGCTGAAGATGCCACGGTTCTTCAATTACCCATAAGGGATGTTTAATGCGATACAGACTGTAAGTTGCTCTGGGTGAAAGTAGGAACCGACTGCAGTGGGTTGAAAGACCCAGGACCACTCAGACAATGTTTAGATGGGGATGGATCCCCAAACACTGTCATCCATCAATTTGGAGAGGTATTATGCACTCCATTGAGCAACCACATGGCCTGAAGGACAGGGATGGGAGGATGTTGCCTATATGTGAACTCTTTTGAATTCCGAAGTGCCTTACATTTGTAAAAAATTATAATTGAAAATTGAAAACCAAAGCAAATGTTTTTCATATTGTTGTTATGCATAGAGACTTGATGTTGGCTGTGAGGTCAATCAAATGTATATGTGTGTGGAGGGAGCAGCTGGACATGCAGTTAATTCCCAGTATACCCCTCAGTGCCGGCTGGTCCGGGACTGTGACCATGGTGCAGCTGCTGGCGTGTGTGTAGAAAGTGAATGTCGTCTCTCATTATATTCCACATACACAGCATACATGTATTGGAACAGGTGTGTGTGTGGACAGCTGTCTGTATGGTGTTCTGTGGAGGCAGGGTGCTGAAAGATGTGTTAGCTCTGACCTCAACTGGTGACCCTCACCTCTTCTGCCACCTCACCCCTTCACTCTTATCTCCTCACTCACAACCTTCTCACCCCTCTCTCTTTACCTCCCTCTCCTCACTCACAACCTTCTCACCCCTCTCTCTTTACCTCCTTCTCCTCACTCACACCTCCTTGCCCATCTCTTCCACACCCTATCCACTTATCCCTGACCACCTCCTTACCTCTCCCCCCCCCCCCCCAAGTTCTCAATATTTTTTCCTCACCCCTCTAATCCTCACTCTGCACCTTTTTCCCCTTTACCCCTCCCCACCACACTCCTCACCCACATAACATTTGCCAGAACCAAACCATTGGGATTTGTGTGGTTTGGTCACAAGTCAGTGGACCATATAAGAATGACCAAAGGCAGTCTAAGTCCTATATCCAATAGGTAACTGAACCAAAGCCATTTGAACCGTCTGTCCTTTAACATTTTCAAATCAAGATTTTATAAATGCCTCAAATAATTTTGTGCTAGATTTTATACTGATTGTTTATAAAGAGAGTTTGTATGTGCCATCTTTGACAATTTGTCAAGAATAGGATGCTGTATTTCCACTACAAAGAACTTCATCATGAGATATTTTGATATGATTCCTAAACCAGCAGAGATGTGCCTTTCCACTGCTTGCCATATGTAAATAAAGCTTTTGTCTTAAATCTGTTCTTGGTCTGTTCTTGGCACAGGAAGTTGGTGGCACCTTAGTTGGGGAGGATGGGCTCGTGGTAATGGCTGGAGCAGAATTAATCACACTTCATATGCAATGTAGGCTAAAGGATGTTAGCTCGCTCTGTTACAGACTTTATTTTGAGCCGTCTTCCCCTCAGCAGCTTCCGCTGGTTTTTGGTGGCTGGTAGCTTATTACATTATTTTGCCACTATTACTACACATGTATTGTACTGTTGTTACCACACAATAACCACATCATTTAACATGCAGACAAATCAAATGTATTTGTCACATGCGCCGAATACAACCTTACTGTGAAATGCTTACTTACAAGCCCTTAACCAACAATGCAGTTTTAAGAAAATATTTACTAAATAAAAAATAATTTAAAAAAGTAACACTATAAAATAACACTAATGAAGCTATATACAGGGGGTACCGGTACCAAGTCAATGTGAGGGGGTACAGGTTTGTCGAGGTAATTTGTACATGGGCCCCATGTAGCTCAGCTGGTAGAGCATGGTGCTTGCAACGGCAGGGTTGTGGGTTCGATTCCCACGGGGGGCCAGTCTGGAAGAAAAAAAATGCACTCGCTAACTGTAAATCCCTCTGGATAAGAGCGTCTGCTAAATGCCTAAATGTAGGTAGGGGTAATAGATGTTGATATATTACTTTAGTCAGTCATTGTATGTTGCTCTGTGTCAGTGTGTTGCTCTGTGTCTGTGTCAGTGTCAGTGTGTCTATGTCTGTGAGCGTGCAGACAGGTTTGTGTCCCTGGTGTTGAGGGATGTATGAAACACCTGCCAGGCTTTCAGCACAGATTACACAGGGCACTGTGTGTTTGCGCACATACGCATGTGTGTGGCTGCTGAGGCGACAACACATGTTCTGGAGGGGTGCATGAATGGACTGACTGCAGGTGGATATAGAGACTAGAGAGAGGGCAGTTTGGATGAGGGAGAACAAGGAGAAAGAGTGAGAGGTTAAGCATGAAACACGCCGAGAATCTCACTGCCGATAGGTACTTTTGCTATAACAAAAGCGGTACCTGCTGCGTGCCGACCCGGTAGTGACGAACCTGCCGTTTCTACTTGTAGAATCGCAACGCTCGTCAGTGACCAACAACTTGACATTGAGCCAATCAGAGAGCACAAACCCCACTTGGGGAAGCCAACAGGAGTGACAACAAAAGGAAAAAAAGAGGGCATTTCCTCCGTACATCCATGGTTAAATGTCATGAGCCAGTCACACATCATATGCAATGTAGGCTATGGGATGTTAGCTAGCTAAGTACACAGACGCAATGCACACAACACTAAACTTTTCCTCAAAGCTATCTTACTACTGTAGCTACTATTGACATTATAATTAAATCACAATGGATTAATTTCCATGAAACAGCTGCCTGTGTTAGCTGCCGAGTTAGTGCAGTGTCCTTAGCTAGCTATCTACATTGTGCTAGCTAGTGAATATGCTAACGTTAGCTAGCTAGCTAAACATTTGGCTATGGGCTGGCACTGGCAGTATGGGACTGTGGAGAGTGAATGAAATTGTTTCTTCGTCATCTTGCTAGGTAGTTATACAGCTGTGGCCATCTTGGTAGTATCAACAAGGGGTTTCTACAAAATAGCAACGCTAGTGCAGCTAACTAGCTAACATTGGAATCTATACCATAAACTAAGCCAAACACACAGACATGCATTGCCAAACAACGCTATTGCCACCTTCTGGTTTGGAGTATTTTAACAAGGCTGAGTGGCTGACGACTTCAAGGTCTTTGCTCTGTGAACACAAAAGAGATTGACCCTGACACTCTGTTCAAATGTGCTAAGTACTGTCGTCAGGCAAATGTTTGATAATCCTACAGGTGTGTCTGAGCTATTAGGGTGGGAGATTAAAGAGTGAGAGCAAAAGCGAGAGACCAGCAAAGAGAGAAATAATGATCTTGTGAAAACCTGTGCCTGCCTCCATCTGAGAGATAGTTGGCCCCCAGGCAGGAGGTAGCTCTCCAGGAGATTGCAAGTGTGAAATCAGCAGAGTATGAGAACCCTGCTGACACACATACTGCACTGTACTGCTGCAGGCCTGGATACAGCTGGACACAGCTAGGCTAAACCCCAGCAGAGCATTAACCCCCAGCTCAACTCAGGCTGCAGGCTGTAGGATAAGCCAGGTAGTGTCTGGTCCTGGCCGTTAGAGCCACAGTGTGTCTGCATTCTGCTCTGCCATCACTGCCCCTAGACATAGTAAGCTAGACCCTGTTTGAACCCCAGCTATAGGGTCTAACCCCAGTTATAGGGTCTAACCCCAGCTATAGGGTCTAACCCCAGTTATAGGGTCTAACCCCAGTCATAGGGTCTAACCCCAGCTATAGGGTCTAACCCCAGTTATAGGGTCTAACCCCAGCTATAGGGTCTAACCCCAGTTATAGGGTCTAATCCCAGTCATAGGGTCTAACCCCAGCTATAGGGTCTAACCCCAGTTATAGGGTCTAACCCCAGCTATAGGGTCTAACCCCAGCTATAGGGTCTAACCCCAGTTATAGGCTCCTAACCAACTGTGCTATTTTGTTTGTTTTTTCGCATTGCTTGTAACTTATTTTGTACATAATGTTGCTGCTACTGTCTCTTATGACCGAAATAAGCTTCTGGATATCAGAACAGTGATTACTCACCTCGAACTGGACGAAGATTTTTTCTTTAATGAGTCCAATGCGAAGGATACACTGCTTCCCCGAGACCCGAATTCCCTTCAATCGCGTGAAAAAAATACGGAAATATAGGGGGTGGAGATCAGGGTGCCTTGTGAGAATTCGTTGGCGAGTGGGTAACCCGCCTATACAATCCGTTCTATTGGCCAATGTGCAATCACTGGAAAATAAACTCGATGATCTCCCGAGTGGTGCAGCGGTCTAAGGCACTGCATCTCAGTGCATGAGGCGTTACTACAGACCCCCTGGTTCGATTCCAGGCTGTATCACAACCGGCCATGATTGGGAGTTCCATAGGGCGGTGCACAATTGGCCCAGCGTCGTCCGGGTTTGGCCAGTGTAGGCCGTCATTGTAAATAAGAATTTGTTCTTAACTGACTTGCCTAGTTAAATAAAGGTTAAATAAAAATCTCTGTTCAAGATTATCCTACCAACAGGACTGTAAAAAACTGTAATATCTAATGTTTCACCGAGACGTGGCTGAACAACGACACGGATAATATAGAGCTGGCTGGGTTTTCCGTGCATCGGCAGGACAGAACAGCTACGTCTGGTAAGACGAGGGGTGGGGGTGTGTGTCTATTTGTCAATAACAGCTGGTGCTCGATCTCTAATATTAAAGAAGTCTCGAGGTATTGCTCGCCTGAGGTATAGTACCTCATGATAAGATGTAGACCACACTATCTAACAAGAGAGTTTTCATCTATATTATTCATAGCCGTCTATTTACATTTTACATTTTAGTCATATAGCAGACGCTCTTATCCAGAGCGACTTACAGTTAGTGAGTGCATACATTTTTCATACTGGCCCCCCGTGGGAAACGATCCCACAACCCTGGCGTTGCAAGCGCCATGCTCTACTAACTGAGCTACAGGGGACCATTTACCACCACAAACCGATGCTGGCACTAAGACCACACTCAATGAGCTGTATAAGGCCAT